TGTGGCATCGTCTGCGATGCCCTCAACCTTCAGTGGCGTTCTGGTATTCTGTCTGCGATTTCCTTTGCCCACCACAACCAGAATGCCCGGACCACACACACACACACACAAAAAAAAAAAAAAAAAAAGAAGAAGAAAAAAAAAAGAAAAGAAAAAGGACATACTACTTCATTGGACTCTCAATAACTGATTTGGCAATTGAACCCTCGATAGGCTGCAGAATCCCTGTCAGCGGACGCTCACCGACTCATTTGGCAGTTTTGAGAGAACCATGGATGTTGAGTGGTAGTCTATCTCCATCCCTGCCACGAGCGCGGGGAAGGTTAATAAAAAAATAAAAATAAAAATAAAAACTAAAAAATATATATATATTTAAAATAATAATAATAATAATAATAATAAAAAAGACAACCGGGAAGGCCACAACATAAGCATCAAGGCAATGCAGGCAGCAGTAAAGCTAGGGGGGGAGGGGCATAGAGGCAAAAAGCAAGCCTAAGGCAAGTAGCACCCAAGCACACAGTCCAACAAGCAGGCGGGCGACTACCATCTTCACCCGAATACAACGTAGTACCTCAATATTCTCATTCGTAATATCAGCCTTGGGCACTGGGCCCGTTAAAAAAAAAGAAAAAAGAAAAAAAAAGTACGGCCATTATAGCTGTATGTATGTGGTCAACTTTTGAGTCTAGACTCTAGATACAGCAATAATGACCCTACTACTTTGTATTTGGGTGAAAACAGCCATTTCGTCAAAACGGACATGTTATATTTTTTGAACGAAATCAAAACTGACTTTTTTTGCCAAAATCCGGTCGGAATTTTTTTTTTTTTTTTTTTTTTTTTTGAGAAGTTGTCATTTTATATTCAAAGCAATAGAGATCGAGGCTGGGGTCCTCACAATTCAACCCGGAGTAACTCAGAGCCATGCTGGAAAACGGGTCCAGCGTCCCCATCCCCTCGGCCCTCACTCAAGAAAAGAAGAACTTCTCAAAAAACGGCTTGAAGCTCAGTAAAAGGTCCAGCCAAGACAGTTAGTCTGAGCGCCTGTTTAACCATTGCTCTCTGTTGATGGAAGGGGATGACTTGGTCTTTGAAGACCACTGAATTCCTCGCTTTCCATATTGTTTCCATAATTATTCCTCTACAAATTAGAGCAACATAACCCAAACTGTTTTGTGTTAACGTTCCCTTCTCTGGGCATGCCCTTACTGTCCAATCCTCTGTCCATTTCCACTCATGACCGAGCTCATCATCCCATTGAAGTGTCCACCATTTCCATAGTTCTGCAGAGTGAGGGAAGGCCCACCAGATGTGCAATGCTGTTTCCCAATTCCACTTGCACCTCGTGCAGGCCGCATCCACCTCCATTCCTCTATCTCTTAGCCATGTTGCCGAGACAGTAATCCCCAGAGATTGGGCCCACATAATACTGGCCTGTCTCTGGGAAGGAAGGGTCTTTAACAACTTCCAAAAGCGGCCGAAGTCCGGCACCGATCTTGAACCTCCCTGAGTTCTTTGGAATCGACGTGTAGCGATCTCCACTGGTTGAGCTTTCTTCCTCCTGAGTACCGAATTGCCTACCTTGGACGAGTACTGGATCAGGGGGCAGTTTCCTCCTTTCTTATCTTTCCATCCATAGAGCAGTGGATCCACCGCCCTTTCTGAAGCCAGGCCATCCAGAAGGACACAGACTTGGGACTTGGCCAGACCGGCTTCTAAAACCCGGAGTTCTTCCAGATCGCAGGTAGAGGGGAGTATGTCTTCTCCCTCTTTCTTCAGTTCCAATCCCTGTTCCTTGCGCCTCCCTTTGATCCAGATTTCCACCGAGGTACCTTGGGCGAGGTCCGGCCCCATTATTCTGATGATCCTCCCAGGGTCTGTCGGATGGTTCAACCATGTACCCGGCCCATACTCCGCATCCTTCATTAACACTGATTTCCATTGAACAGGGATGGCCTCCTTCAGACGTTGGTAGTTTACCTCTACTCTGTGCAACCTTGGAAGCCTTCGGCGAAGATCTTCTGCTGAAATCCAATCCTGTTTATGATCATCCCAAATGTGCTTGATTAAGAATACCCCCTTCGACATCCAAGCCCTCCCAAAACTATTAGCTTTAGTGCTGAGAGTCCTTGACGGATCTGAGAGGAACGTAATTAATCTGTTGTCAAAAAGACTTTGGTTGGAAATTTCTAGTTTCGTGCCTGGAGGGTGTGTGAGTTCAGGTTTTAGTTTCTTCCAAGCTCGGAGAATCCCTGACCACACCCTCGACTTAATCCTTGTGTCAGCTAGATTAGAGCTAACTAAGCATTGCCATATGTCAGTATGTATTGCTAAGTTTAGCTCTTTTCTCAAAATATACTCAGCAAGGCTTTTCCACTGCTTCGGATTCGAATCTGTGCAAGCTTTGACGATCCATTTACACAGGAGAGCCGTATTTTGATCCTTAGGGTCCAAAATGCCCAATCCGCCCTCATCCCTGGGCTGGCACATCATGTCCCACGCCGCTTTAACCAAGAACCCCTGTTCCTCTGAGGCCGCTGGTTTCCATAGATACCTGGCTGCCACCTTTCTGATTTTGATGTACGTCTTCTCTCCCAATTCGTGGACCGACAGGGGAAACCATAGGAGAGAAAAGGCTGCTGACGAGAGGACCAGGGCTCTCCCTGTCACTGAAAGTCTGTGATTTCGCTCCCAACTGTGGATTCTTGAGCATGTCTTGTCTCGTAGTATTTTGTCTTGGCTGTGGGCACAGTGAGAGAGGGAAACCTGAACGCCGAGTAGGCGTTCTGACTCCCCCACCCCCACCCCCTTGAGCCCCCAATCTACACAAATGACGTAAGGTAACGGTAATAGATATGATGACTTGTCCCAATTTATTGAAGCCTCGGATAGCAAACAATATTCTTCTAGAACTACTCTAAGCTGATGAAAGGAGACGTGGGAGTTTTTGCATGCGACAGTAAGATCGTCCGCGATCGCCCCGCCTTTCCAATTAATGGTGGGGGGGATCTCCAGACCCCGTATATCTGGGTTGAACCTAATATTGTCCAATAAGATTTCCAGCTGGATAACAAAAAGCAAAGGGGCTAACGGACATCCCTGTCGGAGCGAACGGGACAGAACAAATTCCTTTGATTGTTTCCCGTTCACCAACACGACTGATGAAGAGCCCACATACATAGATTTCACGTATTCTTGGAAGATTGGGCCAAAGCCCATGTTTTTCAGCGTTGTGAAGACAAACGCCCATCCGACCTTGTCGTAAGCCTTCTCCATGTCAAGGAGGAGGATGGCTATATTTCTTTTTTCTGCGGCGATGATCTCCAATGCTTGTACATCGGCCAAAATATTATCAAAGATGGAACGGCCCTTGACAAAGGCTCCTTGTTCCGGACCCACCAAGGATGGGAGAAATTCGGCTAGTCGGATAGCATGCGCTTTGGCCAGAATCTTATAGATCACGTTCAGAACAGAAATGGGCCTATAGTTTCGCACGTCAGCCTTATTGCCTTTTTTGTATAATAAGGATATACATCCTTTTAGGAAGCTGTTTGTTAGTTTGTTACCCAACCTGATGGAGTTATAGATTTCACAGATAAAGGGGCCAAAGGAGTCCCAACATTCGGTATACAGTTCAAGTGGGAGGCCGTCTAGGCCCGGGCATTACCCTTTCGCCATCTGTTTTGTTGCTTTTGCGAGTTCAGTTATTGTGAAAGGTTCCTCCAAAGCTTGAGTCATAGAAGGGGAAAGCCTGACCCTCGGCTTGTTCCAGAAAGTACTGTGTATGGATAGGTCAGAGTCTGGGGAATCCAAAACTCTGCGTGTACTGACGATGTTACTAAAATAGTCAAAAGCATGGGAGCACATCATCTCCAGATCAGAGGAGGTAGCCACAGTTGGGTCGAAAGGGTGAGAGAGTTCTCTAATGAAGGGCCTTGAGTGCCTGAGGACCAGAGATCTAAATGATAACTTAGTCATTCTGTCATACCCTATTATTCCTCTCAGGTTTAACCACTCCAACCACTCTGACTGTTTCAAGATTTCCAACTTTTCAAGATCCAAAATGGCCAGCCTTCTTTTTTCGGACCAATAGTATTCTGCAAATGGCTCACTTCCCATATTAGACTCTGCCTCAGCAATCAATTTCTTGAGTTGCTGTTCCTTCCAACTGCGGTTCGCTGCTTTCAGGCGTGAGAAATTGATTAAAGCAGCTCGGATGATGTTAATACCGACTTCTGCCCAATCCATCAAATTTTGGAACAGGTCCTTTGCTAGCTCCCAACTCTTCATTTGATCAGATATCCATCGCTTAACCCCCTCATCCTTTAGAACATTTATATTAAGTCTAAAGGGGGGTCTTTCTTTCTGAATTGAATCCTGAGACACTACATCCATTAATACCGGGTAATGGTCTAAGAGATAAAAGTTATCTACCTTGACCCAACAGCATCTGTCCCATGGAGCTCCCCGAGCTAAAATGATATCCAGATGGCAGCGGGGGGCTGAAGTATTGTTAGAGGGGCGAGGACCAAACCACGTGTATCCATTCGAATCTGGGTTTAAGATTCTGTATATGTCCTGCAAGGACTGGGTATCCATAAAGGATTTGAGTATGTCTGAGTCCAACCTGGCTGGTCTCTTTGACAACGAGTCAAGGCCCGGTGAGAGTACTGTATTCCAGTCACCGAGTATGATCAAGTTTTCCACATCCGGAATAAACATCGGGAGGTTGGATAAGAAGTCTATCCTTTCGTTATAATCCACAGGGGAGTATATTGACATAACGGCCCAAACTTCGTTTCCAATCTCAAATTTGATCCACGCCAGCCTGCCCTCCGCATCTGCAAAGGTATCCAAAACGTTAATATTTAGATCTTTGACAATGAGGACTGCTACTCCCCCTTTGGTACCCACAGAGGGGGACCAAATCTGAGGGCCGTCCCATAGAGCCACGGCATCATTTAATTTCTCGTTGTTTAACTTTGTTTCTTGAAGCCCGAGGATCTGAATATTTGTTTTGTAAACCCACGAACGGAGACGGGAACGCTTCGATCTATTCGTGGTGTCACCTAAACCGCGAGTGTTCCATGAGGCCAAGAGAATTTTAGGCGGGAGGACCATCAGGTCTCAATCCGCCATCGCTTTGGATATGGCCTGTCTTGACTGTGTCCTGCTGCTGTTTGGGCTCTGGGTCCTTGATCGGCATCATTTTTACCCCCAGGTTTTTAACCGCAAACAGCATCTGTGAGACTTGCTCCCTAGTCAGGTGGGTGGTCATCCCGACGTGTTTGATCCAATCTGCAATCACCAACCCCGATTTACCTTCCGGCAACTGTAATGCAGCGATCGAGTCCTTGTTCCCCGTTAGGAAGTCTTGGAGCGGCGTCCAATGAACTCTCAGATCACTCCATTTTTCGAAGGACTCATTTATGGTTTTAATACCCAGAAAAACCAGGTAGAAAATGACAGGCAGCTTTTCCTCCTTCAGTGACAGATGGCGGCTCACTCTCATAGTCGGCAGAATGGACACGGATGCGGTGTGGTTTAGAGTGTGCCTCTTTGTCAGTTCCAACACTTCTTCCTCGGCCGGAGGAGCTTTAACTTGTATGGATGGTAACTCTAACCCCTCGTCGGGCTTTATTTTAGTCAGTATCATTGAGCCCAATTGGGTGTCCGGACAGATTAAAGGGACGAAGAAGCTCTTTGCAGGCCCCTTGAGTTTGTCACTTTTTGTGACAGTTTTCATGGGGCCTGCAAACGACAACTGTCCACCCAATGTATGATGATGCAGAGGGCGTTTGCGAGATTTCGTTAGGTCCATGGGGGGGCTCTCTTCGTTAATAACATCGTGTTCTCCGAAGGTGAATCTATCCCCTCCCTCTGTGTTAATCCTGGATCTCTTTACCGGGGATTCGCCCCTCAAACTCGACTGAAATCTCCTGCTGTCTCTTTGTAGCCTCCCCTGGCTTGACTTGGCTTTTAGATCACGAATTGCCGTAGTGTCATTTAGTCTGTCTTTCGCAGCCCCGAGAGCGCAGTTTTCCTGGTCAAAGGCATTGTTGTCATGAACTTTAAAACTGCTCAGAGAAGCCCTACGACTGAGTGGGGGGGAGTTGGGGTGGGACGACTCATCAACTAGGATCCCCTGAGACACAGGAGTTCCTTCTGTTCCCCCTGCCGTTCCCAGCTCGTGCCCAACAATTCCCAAAATATCTTTCTCCGAGTCCAGCTCGATGTCCTCTTTCTCCCCATCGGACACCCCTACTAGCCCCTTGTCCCATTCGTCGACTTGCTCTTTCTCCTGCTGCTGGACTTTCCCCGGGGACCCCTCTAGCTCATCAGAATTAAAAACAAACATTCTAGGGGTTATGGGGTGGGAGATGTCTTTCGGCCTAATATCCCTCCCATATATTTCATGTTCCGGTTCTGGTTGATGGTCTGGTTGTTGATCTGGTTTCACTTCTCCCGGATCTGCATCCGGTTTCGGTTCCTCAGATCCGGCCTGTAGATTTCCCCCGCTGATCTCTTGACCCGGGACTGATCCTTTCTTTCTCCGTATCAAACCATCTTCTTCTTCCGCCATTTCTTCTTCCTCCTTCTCTATCTCCATCTCATCCTCCAATTCAACCTCCTTCCCTTGCTTCCCCCCCTCTTTCTCTCTCCCACTCTCTTCCCCTTCACCTTCATTGATTGCGTCTTTCAAGAAAGTATCTCCCTGTTTTTTTTCCGCCTGATTATCCCCTGTTCTTCCCTCGTTTTGACCATTGTTTCGCTCTTCCCCCCCTTCGGGGCGTCCTGTTGGTCGGGGGGTATCCTTCACTGGGTCTCGAGGATTTAGGTCCTTTCCTGGGACTGGGTGATCGGCCCCATTCGGGGCCTTTGGAACATATGTCTTTTTGTGCCCTCCCTTCCATACTACCAATTGTCCATTCATACCCGATGAGGAAGGCACATCCTGCTGGTTGAGCGGTTGCTTTTGACCCTTTTGAGGAGGGTCGTCCGCCTTGCTCTCTTTCTGCTTCTTTTTCCCTCCACCCTTCCTACGGGCTTTGGGAGCCTGATTGGAGTCTTCTTCCTCCATTGGCTGCTTGCCTTTCGTCTTCCACGGCTCCCCGCTTTTCTTAAAATTCTTAGGGCAATCTGGGTCCTCGGCCGAATGAAAAAAGCTTTTGCACTTGAAGCACCAAGGAGTTTCGGCACAAGCGACTTCAATATCCACGTACCCGAACTCGGCAAGATCAATAGTTAGATATGGTTTGTATCTCAGCCTTGCCGAGGTGACCAGATTGAACCTAACATTCAACAATTCCGGCGAGCATGGTTCTTTAAATGTTGGATGAGTTTTAAGGATAGGGCCAAAGGCCGCTATGACAGCTTCCTCCAACACTAGGAGTGCCGAAACCGGAACCTGCAAGCATCTAATCCAAAAGAATTGAAATCGCATCGCTTCCCTCCAATCGTGTAGCTGGTTATCGTTCATCCATGGCTGGAATGTGACTTCAAAACTTTTCCCATCTAACACAATTGATTCCTTTCCCTTTCTAAGCATGAACGTAGCTATCTGACTTGATGCAGAGACATACGTAATCAGATTTCTACATTCATTATGAAATAAGCCTCTCCTAGGAGGCACATTGATGGATCTACTGTTAGCCCATCCGTCCTCATACATGCGAATCAAGCGCTTTTTCACGTCGATTGGTAAAGCAGTAGATTCGCCCCCGAACAAGACAGTGATAGCATGTTGTTTCAGCCATTCCACTTGGACTCTCAAAACTTCTGGGTCAATCGGAACTCTGACAAAGTCAGCGCCGATTTCCACTTTGTTCGGATTGGACGGAGGGGCCAGGTGATTCGGTAGCAGGCCATCTGCGAAGCAAGAGCTAAGCAGCCCTCTGATTCTCTGTTTGTCCGCATCCAATAGAGGTGGAGAGGGCGGGTCCGGTGGAGGGGGTGGAGGAGGAGGAGGAGGAGGAGGAGGTGGAAGGGGAGGCGATTGACCATTTTCCTCCATATCTCTTCCCTATTCCTTCGTGAAACAGTAACGCCACATAGATTCTCAAAAAACAATCTTCGAAAACAAAAATCAACAATAGACAGAAAGTTATATCATGCTCTATGAAGTACTACCAAAGAGTCTAGTTAAATAAAGAAACCCCTAGTAGATATTTACCGAGGCTTTAATAAATAGGGATGTCATCGGAAAATTACCCGTCCCCCCGTCCCGGTTACATTAAGCCATAGGAGGAAATAGCGAGAATGTAAATCATATACCGATATTTTGTAACTGGACGCCGAGTATTTTCTGAAGAAGAACACCTGGTGAAAGTCGACTTCGAGCATGGTGAAGAATCGCCAAGAAGGTGCGTCGATAGGTTTCTGCTCTCTTCGTTTCTTCTAGGCGCCTGAGGGAGCCGGAAGTACGTCCTCCATCCCTCGAAAGAGCCTTCACCCCGGGCGGACAGTTGCTCCCTGCCCCCTGGTCTTCTCAGGGGGAAAACGTGGTGTACAACATGCTACGCAGGAGCAAGAGAGTCCAAGCTGGCCATGAGACTTACCCGCACGGATGGGCTCTCCCTTGAACCTGGCGCGTTGAGCTTAGCGCCATCTACCTAACCTTCCCTTCGCGACCAAGTTTTTCGGTCGGAATTTTTTGCTCCTGGGGTCCGGCGTTTTGGGAACGCCGGACCCCCTACATGTATCTGGTCTATGGTTGAGACCAGTACAAAAAAAATAAAAAATAAAAAAAATAAAAGATAAAAAAATTATATCTGGTCTCAACCATAGACCAGATACATGTAGGGGGTCCGGCGTTCCCAAAATGCCGGACCCCCAGGAGCAAAAAATTCCGACCGGATTTTGGCAAAAAAAGTCAGTTTTGATTTCGTTCAAAAAATATAATATGTCCGTTTTGACGAAATGGCTGTTTGAAGAAGATGGTAGCAAGGCAGGCAGCAAGGCGACGAAGCAAGCACAACAAGGCAAGCTAAAAATGAACAGAAGGACAACAGGGCAAGGGTGGCAACCGGGCAGGCATCCATTAAGGCCTAGCAGCAGGGCAGGAAGGCAACACCTACAACACAGAGTCCCAGCCTGAGGGTAATCAATGCTGGCAGGCCCCATTCGTACATTCCTCGGACATTTTCAGAATCATAATGTTTGCTGTATTTGGGACACGGGACCCATTTTCCAGCAGGTAAAATACTCCCCACCAATAGATGGAGTCTTCCTGGGGGTGGTGGCGGTGATTGCTGTTGTCAACAACGCTAGCACCCACAAGAGAGACGTTAAAAAAGGGTTTTTTTTTTTTTTTTTTTTTTTTATATATATA